CCCCCCCCCCCAAACACTATGTCTGAAATAACCATCAACAATCAACAGACAATTCTCTCTAATCTCACCTCTGTCATCTGAAAGGACAGGCCAAAAACTGAGGCAGCTGTCAGTTATGGGAAAAGTTCTACAGCTGTCAGTTATGGGAAAAGTTCTACAGCTGTCAGTTATGGGAAAAGTTCTACAGCTGTCAGTTATGGGAAAAGTCTACTGCTGTCAGTTATGGGAAAAGTTCTACTGCTGTCTGACAAGACTTTTGAGATTGTGGAGTATTCGAAAAGTTGAAACATTTTGTCAGCTAGCAACAGCGTTTCGCTTGTGCAAAGAGGATTTATTAGTTTTTTAGTCTTAGTCAGAGTTTTACGGCACTTTCAATTCAATTAGAGCATACAAGTGCCAAGATAGTAATATACAAAGAAAAAAATGAAGATAAATAAGGAGGACGTAAGTGAAGCACCGACTCACCTCCTCATGTGCACCAGCAGGTTCTTCTTGGTGGTGGTGGAGAACTCACAGACCACACAGTAGTAGTTGCCCTCCTTCTCTGCAGGCATGATGTCGCTGTGCTGGGTGTGCAGGTGTTTGTACAGGTTGATCAGCTTGGCGAATCTGGGGGGACACACGACACACGTGTACTTACACACACACATGTACACACACACACACGACACACTTGTACATACACACGACACACGTGTACATACACACGACACATGTGTACATACACACGTACACACGACACACGTGTACATACACACGTACACACGTGTACATACACACGACACACGTGTACATATAACACACACATGTACACACACACAACACACTTAGGCATGATGTCGCTGTGCTGGGTGTGCAGGTGTTTGTACAGGTTGATCAGCTTGGCAAATCTGGGGGGGGGACACACGTGTACATACACACGTACATACACACACACACGTACATACACACACACACACATGTACATACATGTACATACACACATGTACATACACACGTACATACGCACACACACGACACACTTAGGCATGATGTCGCTGTGCTGCGTGTGCAGGTGTTTGTACAGATTGATCAGCTTGGCAAATCTGGGGGGGGACACACGACACAGGTGTACATACACACGTACATACGCACACACACACATGACACACGTGTACATACACACGACACACATGGACATACACACATACATACGCACACACACACACATGTACACACACACACGACACAGGTGTACATACACACACACACATGACACACGTGTACATACAGTAGTCTCCGCCTAAACGCACCTCATACAAAAGCACGCTCCGCTCAAACGCAAGCTTTCGTCATCTGACGCGTTTTTTACTTTAGAATTTAGACGTACAAACGCACGGTCACTCCCTCTAAACGCACGGTCACTCCCGCTAAACGCACGCTCCGATCTGCGAAACACGCCGACAGGTCAAGCTTGACAAAGGGACATTTTCACGACAACCTGCACAGCCTGCGACAACCTGCACAGCCTGCGTTAGTGAGACAAGCCTAGAAAATCGGTGAGCTTGCCCCTCTCGGCGAACAAAGAGAGTGATGGACAGCGTTTTCACATCCAACTTTCCACTGACACATAGGTCTACATCTAGATATCTAGGACTGGTCGGTAAAAAGTTTGGGGGGGGATTGGGGGCGGGGGACTGAAATGTTTTTTGATTGGTCACTGGAAATGTATCTTTGAGAGAAGGTTTCTGACAGGGGTTTGAGTGACTGCATGTAATGTTTTGTCAGATCAAGGCCTGATGCGCGACACCCATAAATGCCGTAAAACACTAGATCTAGACAGGATTAAAGATTAAACAAGTAAGCCTAATCAGCTGGGCTCGAAGAACTTCAAATGTACTTGTTCAACGAATCACAAGAGAAAAGTTTCTCTGAATGAGAGAATGATTCTGCATGAATTTACGGTCGGGGCTGGTCGCTTGGACAGCCACGTGGCCGGTACGTCGTCTCTATGACTATCACCAACAGTTTTCTCTGAGGCTATCTGTTCCCGACGTTTATAGCACATATTTACGACATTGAGTCTTTCTCCCC